CTGAGCCTGGAGCACGGGGATGGTCTCGAAGGACCCCCAAATCCCCCCCAGGACCCCCTCACCTGTGCCCGGAGCACGGGGATGGTCTCCAGGGCCCCCCAAATCTCCCCCAGGATCCTCCAAAGTCCCCCAAACCCCTCAACGCCCCCCAGGACCCCCGAAACCCCCCTCACCTGTGCCCGGAGCACGGGGATGGTCTCCAGGGCCGCTCGCTGTTGCTCGGCCTCGGCCTTGAGGCGATCGATGAGCTCCTGCTTCAGCGCCAGCGCTGACTCGGCCGCTCGGAGCTGCTCCTGCGTCACCTGGGGGGGACAGGGTCACACCTGGGTCACCTGGGGCTCACCTGGGTCACCTCAGGGTCACCTGTGTCACCTGGGGGTCACCTGCGTCACCTGGGGCTCACCTGTGTCACCTGCATCACCTGGAGATCACCTGTGTCACCTACAGGTCACCTGAGGGGTCACCTGTGTTACCTGTGGGTCACCTGCGTCACCTGCATCACCTGGGGGTCACCTGGGAGTCACCTGGGGGTCACCTGCATCACCTGTGTCACCTGGGGTCACCTGGGGGTCACCTGTGTCACCTGGGGGTGGCATTGTCACACCTGTGTCACCTGGGGGGGACAGTGTCACACCTGGGTCACCTGGGGGTGGCATTGTCACACCTGTGTCACCTGGGGGGGACAGTGTCACACCTGTGTCACCTGGGGGTCACCTGGGGGTCACCCGTGGCCACCAAGGGGTGGCATTGCCACCTGGGGGCCACCTGTGTCACCTGCGTCACCTGGGGGGGACAGTGTCACACCTGGGGGTCATTTATGTCACCTGGGGGTCACCTGAGTCATCTGTGTTACCTGGGGAGGGACATTGTCACCTAGGGGTCACCTGGGGGTCACCTGTGTCACCCATGTCACTTTGGGGTAGCTTTGTCATCTTGGGGTTACTGGGGAGCACCTGTGTCACCTGGGGGTCACCTGGGGGTCACCTATGTCACCTGTGTCACCTGGGGGTTACCTGTGGGGGGACAGTGTCACACCTGTGTCATCTGGGGGTCACCTGGGGGGACAGTGTCACACCTGGGTCACCTGGGTCACCTGAGGGTCACCTGTGTCACCTGAAGGGTCACCTGTGTCACCCACACCCCCCCACTGCCCCCTCAGCGCAGACTCGGCCGCTCGGAGCTGCTCCTGTGTCACCTGGGGGGGG